TTTTTTTGACCAGTGTATATAACATCTATATATACATAAAGTATCAATCAATCAATCATGATTGATATATGAAAATAAATTTCATACATTTTGCATAATATAAGGCGGTATTATTACATATACATATACCGAAAATACATATTCAAAGAAACGAAAAACATATTGCTAACATTTGGCGAATGTGATAACGATTTTCTAACATTTTGAAATATGCCTGGCGGTTTTACCGAAAATACATATTCAAAGAAACAAATATATTGCTAACATTTTGCAAATGTGATAACGAATTTCGAACATTTTGCAAAATGTCGCGTTTTTACCAAAAATACATAATATTTAAGAAAACGGAAAACATTTAACATATTTCTGACATGTTGCAGAATGTCAAGCGCAGTGTAACAGGAAATACATGTTTTTAAAGAAACGGAGCTGTGTGAAAATGTATTTCTAACTTTTTACAGACTGTCAGGCGCAGTGTTATAGAAAAGATATGATTATATAAACGGACAACATATTTCTAACATTTTGCAGAATGGACAATGTAAAAACAAATTTCCAACATTTTGCAGAATGTCAGTCGCAGTGTGACCAAAAATATACATTTAAAAATACAGAATCACACAAGAAATTTGAAACATTCAAATACTTCAAACATTCTGCATTCTGCAAAACGTTAATTATGTTCAAGGGCATTGTCCAAACCAAATTATATTATAAAAAACCAAGAGAATATTATAAAAAACCAAAACTTTGCAGAATGTTAGAAATAAGTTTGCACTTTACAAAATTACAATGTATACTCTGAGATCTCGCAATTCAAAAATAAAAGAAAGATAACATTCAGGTAACCGTAGTAAACTCGATTTAAAAATCCCATTGGTGCAGACTCTGCCACCCAAGAGTGACAGTCCAGCGTAGCCAGCGCGGACTCTGTTCCCAAAAAAGATAGTCCCAGCACCCACTAGCGTAGCCAGTGCGGACTCTATCTTTAAAAGGGAACAGTCCCAGCACCCACTGGCTTGTTTTATAACCATCACCGGTACTGTTTCCTTCAGATGACAGAATCCGCACCAGTGAAATCCTTTACATCGAGTTTACAGTGGTAATGTATATAAATATATACATGCATATATAATGCAACTTTTATTTTTAGTTACTTTCTTCATGGTTTGGATCAGCAATGTTTTCTTTATCATTTCCGTCAACTGTTTCCTTTGATTTGTCTCTCTTATTTCGCTGTGCTGCAAAGCGTATCCACTCTGCAACTAAATTATCAAATTCTGTTTCCGTTAATGTAACATAACGTGATGTTACTTCTTCTGAAAAGAAAGAAAAGAGATAAAGAATTAATAAAACCATTATGAAAAAAGTTGTAATTTGTAGTCACATACATCTATAATACATGTATAACTTACTTTTAATAATTTCGATGAAATGTAAGTTTGAAACTTTGAAATTATTTCGTAGTCCTTTCCAAGAACATTTCATGGAACATTCATTTGTTAATGTTTTTTTTAGGATATGGTGAATATTATCTTTGGCATTGTTCCCACCCGTTTTTGACAAAAACTGTTTCTGAAACAAGATAAAAAATAATATTTAAAATCGTGTTTTTAAATCATAAAGTGTTCAATAATATTGCAACAGAAATGTACAATACAGTTTTGTATAATAATTTATATATAATTAAATGATTTTATTATCATATTCTTCAATCAATTAGTGAAAACACAAATACTGTTAAAAATAGAGGAATATAGAAAAGTCATGACAAAGATTTAAAAATCGGAAACATCGACAAATGTCTAATAATCTCCTCTAATAATATCAAATGCTGATTAAGCTAAAATTTTTGTACTTACAAATTGTATCACGGCTTCAGCTGATACTTTTAGTAATGCATCAAACTCTTTCACCACAGCAATTGTCGTTAATGGTAAAAATGGCGCTATGCAATCATCATTAATATTGATAGGACTTAACGTGCGGCGTTTAATGGCAACTTCTATCTTTGATAATCGTTGCTGTATATCTTTCAACACAATATTTGATGCTGCTTGCATGCGCAACATTTGTTTCATGTTATCTACAATATCTGCAAAAAAATTATGAGCACAACAAATTACGTTACAAAGTGATAATTAGTAAGTTTAATTAGTTAATTTAATGCAAATAATATGCAAAAATAATACCTTTTACATTAATGATGTCTTCTAAGTTTCTGACCGGGAGAACATTATCTACAACATTTAATTAACGTGCAAAGTACTAAATAAATTTGTAGTATTGCAATTAATGTTTGGTGATTGTAATATTATAATTTATTACCTTGTAATATTATTGATGTTTCATTCAGATTGGAACATTCACCCTCGCTATCATCTATCCTCAATGGGTCATTTCTTTCTTCTAGAAGTATACAAATAACTGTAATTGCAATAATAATTATAATTGTACATATTATCTTAAAAAGATACCATTTTGTATAGTTTTTTGGCTGAATCCACTTGCATTATAAATTGTATGATCATTCGATATGTTGGATTGTCCGCTATTAAGGTCCAAGTTTGAAGGACATGATGGTAATGTTGCCTGAACATTTAC